TAAACTGCGTGATGGTAATTATTATTTTTCTTATTTTATAATAATTGAAATATCGACGAATTAAATTAATACGTCGAGTATAGTATATAATTTTTTATTTTGAAAGACAAAATTATGTGAAGATAAATTCGTTCCTCGAAAAAGTTAGAAGAAACTGAAGCTGCAAAGCGAAACAGTTAACCATTTCGACGAGCAGTCAGTCTGACTGACCATTTCGAGTCAAATGACAAAAATCAACAGCAAGTTACATCCGACTGGCCGATGTATCGCGAGTAGATATTTGAGCAGGACCGTTCCTTGTTTGCTATCGTGCGCGGTTTTGGCTGGTAAAGCAATCATTCAGCCCTGGCTGATATTTGTCCTAGTAATTTTGTGGAAGGAAAAGTCGCGATATCGGTGCTGCGAAGCAACGAAGACGTAACCGAGAAGTTATCTCTGTTAAATGAACACTATATACCATAGTCGATCCTTAATTTGTTCAACGGTTACCTGTGCACCTCGGTTATTAGCAAAATTGATGCCACGTGATAATTCTCAAACTAAGTCAAGGAAGGATATATATAATTTCATTTGCAACTTCATAAAACTCTCAAAATTGTCAAAGATAGTCATTTTTAATTTTCAGAACTTCAAGAATCGTATATCTCTTATTGTGAAAGTGATCTTTTAACTCGTAAAATTCTTAAAACTATCAAACTGTCTTCGAGTCATTAAAATTCAGAATTGATTATTATATCGAGTTGATAAAAGTATCAATTTGATCATTTTTAATTTTCAGAATTCCAAAGATTTGAATTTGTTCTAAATTCGAACTGTTTCCTGAAAAGTATAACGTGATATGTTATTAATTTTTAATTGTTATGGATACGTATGGATATGTTTTTATGGATATGTATTAACAGTTTAGTAAGACAGAATCATCTATGCTGTCTTATTATCCATAATTGCGATTCCACAGTTTCAGATGCATCAACGGTGGCAATAAAAGAAAAAGGAAAACTTTTACCTCGAAAATTCTACGCGATGTTCACCGACTGTACGACTCGTTTACGATACGGATATACCGTCGTCCGTCATTACCTGCCGGTTAGGTAGCTCACCTGACGGATTGGGAGGTCCAATCCACGATGTTCGTTCATCACGTTTGAAGAATGCCGCCTTCTGCTGGCTCATCTATAATAAACATCCACGATTACGATCACCGTGATAAAGCATACCCATAGGGTCTTTGTTCCACTATTTACAAATTGCATTCTACCGGTGGATTCTTACACAGAAACGGAAGCGATCAATCCCTTTTACCGGCCACCGACGGTCTTCAAACATCTTTTTTCTTTTTCCTTTTTGCTTGATGATTGAAATTTTCCGAGAACATGATTCAATTCGGATAATCCAATTCAGATAATTCTTTTCTTACTTCTTCTTTCGTGCCAAGATATATTCATATCAAGATATATTTTTTCATCAGAAAAAAAGAGTAATTGTAATAATTATACTTTTATACTTTTAAAATGTTAATATGATTTTAAAATTAATATATTTTTGAGCATTTATTATAAGTAAAAAAGTAAATAATAAAAAAAGTATAAAGTATTGATATATCAATATTTTTTAAATAGAAGATGTTTTTTCTTAAAATTTTTAAACAAAATTGCAACCACTCTGGTTCTAGTTTATAAACTGTGTATTTTTTTCAACTCAAGATAAATGTACAAGAGAATACATAATATGTATATATGTATATATATATATATATATATGTATATATTGTTTATCATATTATTAAACTTTCAATGTGTTAAAAGTAAAGAGTGGTAGAAAGTATTAAAAAAAAAACAACTTTTATAATTATTAATCTGTTACATGAAGTATAGTAAATAGATGATAAAGAACTAAACGCAATTGTGATTTAGCGATTTCTTCACTGGCAGTAATATCTATAAATTGTACATAGTAGTACTTTTCAAAAAATCTTATAATTACTAGACAAAAAATTAGCATTTTTTTTTATAAAATATTATAAGACCATTGAATCATCAAACGTTTCCATCTTTCTTTCCAGAAGAGAAACTCGTATGCTTCGGAGAATCATTGCTCTCCATTTTCACCGTTTGTTTACGAGTATCATTATCAAAATCATCATCCCCAGCTCTACCATTGTTACTTCGATTTCCATTGCTTGGTGTGCCGATTATTATGTAGCTTCCATCACCTCTTTCGCTCATGAAAGATTCGTAATTCTCTCGTTGACGATGCACTTTCGACGGATGAGTGTTCATCGTGTTACTTTGACAGTACCATTCTTTATCTCTTGCGTGATGAGAGCAATCCAGATAAGCCGTACAATTCTATAAATTTTTATATCAATTAATTCCTTTCTATGCATGTCACATATACATATTTAATATTTCTATAGTATATGTATAATTTACATTAAATTCGTAATATTTTACATAGGGTGTCTCTGTGAAAGGGATGATTTTAAATTGACCTGATGAATTTTCAACGTCGTTTTCCTAGAAAAACGAAGCAAAGTCATTTGCAAATTTGCACTTCCGACTTATTTTTCATGGAATTTTTTTTATAGAATCTCGGTTATGAGATATCGAAAGATTTTAGATTTTTAAATATTTAATTTTCAATTTGAACGAATCGTTTAAATTTAATAATTTAATACTTAATTATGATTGTTTACCACGACATTGTCCGAAATTCTAGATACTCCGCATCTGGATTGAGTGGCGAACCAGCAACATTCTTCTGGCGTGATTCGCGACAAAATCTCACCACTTTCCGTGATTCTGTGAATGGCAGCCGAAGTTCCCATAATCCCACAGGATCTCGATGAGAAAGGAAAGATGACAGGAGTGGAGAGGTAAGTCTTCGGAAGTAACTGAAGAAAATAAAATAAATAACAACGTTACAATATTTTTATCATTTTTTGTTTTGTTCTTTTTTTTTTAATTTTTCTTTTCTTTTTTTTTTTACTGTTGCATTAGTTTATTTTCATTACACTGCTTACGTTTCTTTGTTTCAAACATTTTGTTTTGTTTCTCCATTCAAATTCATTATAGGACTTTGCTCCTTAAGCTGGTGTTCGAATTAAAAGTGAATTTAAGCTCAATAATACCGGTATTATTGTAATTCACATTATACGTAATAACTGTACTAATAAAAGAACGTTCGTCATCATTAAGTTCCATCTTGCTGCGTTAACTCTATCAGTTTTATCTTTTTATTATTATTATTATTATTATTATTTCTTCTTTTATTTTACTTACTTTATTTTTCAAGAAATAGACAAATTCGTTTTTGACGAATTTGATCCAATTTAAAATTATATATGTCGACTATTCGTTTATCCGATATAGTAAAATAGACTAGCTTCGAGCTTAATTAGACTTGCTCTTACAATGTTTAAAAACTGATAGAGTTAAAATCACCGCGAAATATATTTCTTTCTTTCTTTCTTTCTTTCTTTCTTTCGAGTTGGAATTTGATACTTAATAACACGAGCCTTTGTAAGGACTTTTCTCACCAACTTGGCACTTGTAGGATTTAAGAGATGTACAATGGTTCATAATCGTTTCTCATTTCTATACATTTCGATCGCTTAACACGTTCCTCTAGCGGTTAGAATGAATATGTTTGCTAATATTTAGACAGAAAGTCGTTTACGAGTTTATAATATGGGTTAACTTTTCTTAGTCACAATTATTTTCACATTCTCTCTCGTGCTCTCTCTCTCTCTCTCTCTCTCTCTCTTACACACATACACACTATTATTTTTCTATTTTATTTCTTTTTTTTATCTTTTCACATTTCTTTCAGTGGTTTGAACATCACTACCTCTACGCTTAATATCGTTGCCAATAATGAAACTCGGATTATAATTTATTCGTCCTTAATCGTAAGACGTAAGTCGTAATTCTATATTATACAGTCTGCATCGCCAACAAGACAGATCAATAAAGTAACAAAATTATTAAAATTTTCAATTAATTAACGCATCTCTAATATTTTCGTCATAGGATTCACGTTTTGGAGATGACGAGATTGGCGTGATATAATTCCTTGGTTGTCTTAACTTTTGATCCATTTATGAGATACTTTGTTTGATTCTTTGAATTATACATTAGGTCCATCTTTTATCACTGTTAAAATATAAAAAATTAATTATAAAGATGTATTATACATATTGTACAATGAGAGGATTTTTTTTCTTTTGCATTTTTTTCATATTTTAATAAATATAAATATTTGATATTACCTATATTAATATTTTATATCGATAAAGTTTTAAAAAATTTAAAAATATGAAATTAATTTATGGAAGTATACACCGCACAGCGAAAAGATTTTGACTATCATTATATTCCTCCTTATTAGTGAAAAATTTGAAAAGATTGGACCTCGTTGAAGTGCTCTTACAATAATAATCCAAAAGTTAAAACAACAAATGATCAGTTGTTCTAGACAAACAATTACATATCCATCGTTAAAATTTCTTAAAGAATTTTTTTTTTTTATCACAACTCGTCTTTCCTGACGTCGCGACGATATTCAGCGTTTTCCACCGCTGTGTTTCCACTATAAACTACGATTAATTTTAAAATAAATCACAGCATTTTTACATCATTTCATGCCTCTTGGATGTTTTTATACATCCAAGAACAAAAAAGTTGAATCATCGTTAAATGTTTCTATTACGCTCGATCAATATTTATTATAAATCTTCAACTTGCTATTTGATCGATTAATGATCACGCAATTTTCAAGCTATTTGCTCTATAGAACATTCTTCTGTTAAAAAACAATGTTCCTTCAATTAAATTCATTTACTTTCACATTAATTCTCACTTAACACGCACAATATTATAATGACAAAAAGTATCTTAATGGTCAAATAAATTAAAAGAAAATGGAAAAAGAAATTTGAACAATATTTTGCTTTTAATGTTACGTTATCTTAAAATTTTGCACATATTGTTATCTTTGATTAATATCTATTTAAGAAGAAGTTTCTATCATTTTCTTTCTTAAAGTTATCCTCGTTAGAAAAAATTCAATATAAATATATTTTAAATGTACTTTTTGTTAAAATTATTTTATATCAAATAATATTGAATGTGTTAAGCGGTATTTCGCATGACATTCTTGCCTCTTTGTTCGAAGCAATCGAGCGAACGGAAACAAGGGAAGGTTCTTCATACGCGATAAATTACGTGGGACGTAAGCGCGACGGTGAACGCGAAATAAAAGCTTCTCTTTTAATTTGGTCCCATTATAGGTACAGGATAACTGGCACGAATTATGTCAAGTCGATGTACCGATAGATCAATCAATACGAGTTATAGGTGCTTGCACGGGATTCAGAACTCGATTATAAAGGAAATAGAAATAAAAATTATATTACTTTCAAAATGAGACAAAAAATAATCTTTATAACTCATGTTAATAAAAGATGAGAGTTTCTCTGCTCGAAGATATTCTTATCCAAATATTATCGTATTTTTCCTATTAATTCAGATAATGTAGATTTTACTACGAACTTAACGAGTGAAATAAATCTTGCATCATTGGATATAATATCGCACTTCTCAGAATGTTAATGCGAACATTTTTCTCTTCTATTTTATAATTTCAAAAGGTCCCAAAGTTACCATAATAAATGGAATATTAAATATACGTTAAAATGGACATATAAAAGATTCCAATAAATCTTATGTGCCTCATTTTTCGAATTTACATTACAACTACAATCTTATCTATAGTCTTGTCTATAATCTTAACTTATAAAATTGATCCAATTTTTTTACTTATATTTTAGAACAGTAACATACTAAGTGGCGATATTTTCCTTTCTTCTTCATCCTTTCTTTTTTTTGTTCATTTTATTTAATTCTTTTGCAATCGAGAAATAAAAGAGTTCTGAATGCAAAACTACCGTACGCACCCTTAAGAGAGAGAAACATATTTTTTCACGAACAGAAGTGCGTGTATTCGTCGGCTTCTCGACTTCCTATGTTCGCAATATTAATGATCACTTTTATTTATACGTTTCTCCGCGCGGCAATACGTATCGCCTAATTATTCTACTAAATAATTCATATACTTCTTCGTCGCGCGTTTTCGTTCCTTCATTATACATATAAGTACAATATATTCTTTAAATATATATATATATATATATATATATATTCAATGTATTCATATAATTCATCGTCGATACACTAATCTTAAGTGTATCATCGGCGATATCTAACAACTTGATGGAAGATGCCAATTAAGTACTTTTATCGACACATTTTGATTATATTTCTTTATTAAGTGTAAGCAACCTACAAATTATATTAATATTTTATAATGTCTTTTATAATAAAAAGATATTTTTAATAATATTCTGATAACTGAAATTTTTGAAGGAAGAAAGTTTTTTTTTAAATCATACAAAATATTTTCAAAAATTTTAATATTAATATATTAATGAAAGTTGCTCAACTTAATATATAGCTGACGTACGAGACCCGCAAATATCGTGCTGCTTTTGATTTTTTTCCTCTTTTGATTCGATTAAGAATTTTGAAAACCTCTAACACGTTCTCTGCCAGTTCATTTTTGAATAAATATATATTTTCAGGCCATATGTAATCTCCTTCTTGTCTCTGCTTTTTTTTTATGTTAATAAAACATTCAATTAGGAAATATAATGAAAATTAATTTAAAAATTTTTTCATATTTTATCTATCAATGATATATCACTTGGCCTGAAAATAAGTTTCAATGTATACCGAAAATAGTACATGGGGCAGAGAATGTGTTAATAGTTTCATAGTTCTCTTAAAGGCACAATCTCGACAAACATGTGTAAGTATGTGGTTTGTCGAGACGTTTCGTACGTCATTTATATTCTTCGACGAATCAAAAATATTTGTCCTAAAAATATTTTTGTAAAAATAAAAGAAATTATAATTATTTAAGAAATTGATTTAAATAAGTTCGCTGAAATTTATTAATTACAAACAACAGACGATTCTTCCTACATATACAAAATATTATCAGATTATTTGAACGAAAATAATTTATAATTCTACAAACAATTGGACATAATTCACGTCCGCGATGAATCACTAATTTCTTTCGAGGGCTAATTATTTCATAAGGTATAAATAAATGCAACATTCGTAGACTCGAATTGTTGCATAAAAAAATTTCACGTTACAACTTCATTTATATAATTTAATCATACATGCAAAATTGAAAATATGTTTAATCGAATTTGTAAATACGTATGTGCAATATATATCCCAAAATATACAAATTTTTTAATCACTTTTTTATCGTTCCTTTGGATACAAATTCAAAATATCCAGAATGAAAATTATGAGAAAATGTTTTGGCGTTTGAAAGTAACTGACTGAGAATTCTATGTAAGAGTTTCAATTAGCCCACGAAAAAAATTTGAAGATTCGTTTAAATTTCGCTACCTATAGCGCCTACGTGAGGACTATGCCATCGAGGAATATTTGGCTGGTCACAATACATGCCCATCGACGTAGGAGCGACGAGGTCGTTATTCGAGTCTTCGAAGCTCGCTTCCTCACTATCGTCGCCATCGAATGACCTCACGGTCGTCGTTGCAATCGTGGTGACCACGGATGTATCGTGCGTCGCAGTTGTAACTGCAACCCCATTTATCTCTGACATACGATCCGTACTTACATTAGTACTTTCCGTGTCGGCGACTTCCACGCTTGCACCACTCTCGCCCACCATATTCACGAAAAACTCAGATCTGGAGAACCTGCCGATCTCTGTAGAACCGAATGCTTGGTGAAAACCAGGCAACGGTTGCTTACTGACAGTTTTCTTCTTCGGCTCAAATCTTTCGACAGATCGCCGAGATTCGCGTTCCTTTTCGCATGATATGCTAGATTCCTGATTATGAATTGGATAATAATTAATAATTAATTAGTTACGTTCGTATTTATGAAGTTTTAGTTTGAAGTTAGATGAATCGTAAATATGCATAATATAACCGAATGTTGTACCGTTGTTGCAGTTAGGTTATCCATAGACATTCTATTATTTATAGCGTTCGGCTCCCATCTGGGCCCATCGTCTTCACGACGAATCCTCATTGCGGACGCAGAATCCATAACAGAGTTTACTGAAGTTTCTAGCATTCTTGGCATCTGAAAAAAAATTTATATAGTCATTATATAATTATTTATTATATTATTCATAATAATAAGTTTTCTATTTTGGATGGATTCTTTGTTCTTTTCTTGTTCATTCATTCAGACATATTCCGCATATTGTGTAAAATAGGAAAAGGAAAACCTGATGTTCAGGAGGCGTATACGATGCTCGTACATTCTCAATATCGAGTTTGCTTGGATTGTACATCATTCGTGCTGTTTCTTCAGGAAATTCACAGTGTCTAACGGGTACACGATCCCGTAATAACACAGTGTGACGCGGCCCTCGAACTCCAATATTTCGAGGCATAGACGAAGCATCTATGAAAGAACAATAAAAATTCATTTCTTCACTGATCTTCTTGATGGATATTTCATCGGTTTTTATCTTCACTTACGTGGTAATACGTTATGGCAAAATTGGCCCCATGGTCCATGTCCATGTGGACCAGGATTTTGAATGTTCGGGTGAAGAATGTTGCTCATTTGGGGAGGATGAGACGTTCTGGGATGTTGATGAGCAGTTCCGCCATTCTATGATCGACAATTTATAGAAATTTTTTTAAAAAATAAATTATCATCTATGGAACAATCCGATAAAAGAATTCCAACGATGGAAAGAAATCTTTGTTCTTGCATACAATTAAAATTTTATAAAGTCTTCAATCACAGCTATTATTTACAAACGAATAATTTCACTATTTTAACATTAAGATTGTTTAATCTTTTTTCAATCAAATTATATAAGATATCAGGATATCTTTTGAAACCTTCATTCATACAAAAATTATTTTCTAATTTCACATAATTTTTTTTTTACAAAGAAGGATTTTATTACTAACCGACTTCAAAAACACCACGATTCCATAGAGACACCCTGTATAATTTCCAAAAAAGAAACACTCACCTGATAAGGATGCCATTTCTGGCCATCAGTGAATTCATTGTACTCCATATTCTCCTGACGACGCAACTCCCTTTCCCTATTAACATCGCTGAAATCGACCGGATATCCGTTATTCGAAAACGTAGCACCGCATTCAGCAGACACGGTATTGGCCACGCTGGCCACAGCCTGATTTCTCATCACGTCTTTGCATTTATCGAGGCCACGTTGATGCATTGCACCCATTACTTGCAGTCTTTCGATAGGATCAGCCACATTCCCGTACCAATCGGTCATTCGGGGTGAATGGATCGGTTTCGGACGAGGCGTCGATTGAAACCAAGGTTCCGCGACTCGAACCGGTTCCATGGACGAATTCATCGGTATGTTGGCCGAGGAAACGCAGCCGAAACGATGCTGATGATCTAGGAAACCGCCGGAAGTGACTGGACCAGCGATCACGCTCGCACGTGCGATCGCGCTCTGCAAGATCGATCGTCTGGATAATTCGCGACTCTGTTCGCGCATCGCTTTTCGCAGTCTCGCTTCTTTGGGATTGTACACGTAATCTGTGAAACAGGTAAATATGTTAAAACATTTAAAATTATTAGAAATTTAATTTTTATAAATTTTTATAGATTAAATTAAATTTTATAATATGTATATTCATTATACTATTACACGTAAAATATTATAATAGTATTAGATTGGCATTAATAAAGTAATATTTACAAGAAATATTAGGATGATTTTTAACTGTAAGTGACACAAAAGTAAAACACAATTTTAAGTTATGATTAAAAGGGAAAATTTGTTAAAAAATAATAAATAATAATAAATAGAGTAATAGGAAAATAATAAATAGAGTAAGTAATGGATTATCGATTGTCTTTTTGAGTCACTCTGTATAGTATAGTATAGTTTTTTTGCCTCGTGAAAAACTAGATAAGAAATGCAAATACTGAGAATTAACATCTTATATATATATATATATATATATAAGATAGATTAGATCTTTTCAAATAATAGATATTTAATTTTTAGTTTACATATTACTCCTGGGCAATTTTGAATAATTCCATAGAGTTTACATATATTTTTCACAATATTAAAACTTTTTGCGATGTAAGAACGCAATTAAAAATTAATTTTTAATTTTTCAAATTTTCAAGTAACAAGAGAAAATAATATATTTAAAAATATTTCTATATTACTTAGCTAATCGTGACTTCCACGCATGTGCGTTAGATCTCACTATTTAAGATTCTATTTAAGATTCGATGCACAATATAATTAAATTCTGCCTCATTTTTAACTGATTTTCATAGTTTTGTCACAAATTTTAGTGACAAATTTGTGCTGACAATTCTCTCTTTAAAAATAAAAGTATATTAATCAATCATTTATAAGCACTATTAATTAATAATTTTAAATAAATGTAAAAAAAAAAACGTAACTTTTAACGTTTGAAATGAATAACAAATGCTTGTTTCACAAATTCTTTTAAGCATTTAAATACCTATAGGATACGCAGGCGTTACAGTCCCGTTGTATCGCGCGCTCGTTTCGATTGCATTGGAGATCGGTGGCGGTTCATAACCACCGTAATCGGTGTTCATGTTATCATAGCAAAAGTAATGTTGTTGTTGATAAAAGTGGCTCCCTGCCGCGTAAGCCTCGACGTAGTTGCAACAGTCCATCTTTGCGACCAAGGGCGGTCCTTATCGCGCCGCAAAGAATGACTTCTTTACTTCTCGAAGCTTATCAGCCACGTTTGCGCGTTAAATCCTATCAAGCGAGCCTTGAACACATAACCAGAGGCAAATTTATTTTATCTACGAATCGTTTCAAATCTTTCGAGATCGAATGTCTTTTTTTCTCTTCTTTTCTTTTTTTTTTTTTTTCTATTATTTGGAAGAATCGCAAAAATTGGCCCCTTCTTTTTGCTTCTTTACAATTTATCCTCTTTGATTCTTAAATTTTTTTGTCTTCTCCTTTCTTTTCTATTGTTTTATCGTATATGTCAGCAAATAGAGTTTACGTGGGAAGACCACGTAAGAGAAGGGTACATCGGGAGGCGTTCGATCGGCCTCCTGCATTCCGTCGGGAAGACCCAGTGTTTTTAGTCCCGTCGCGCGTGGCGTCATTATTGTCCCCGCCGACGTTGTCCTCGTCCTCCTCGTCGTCATCGTTTATCCCGCGTAGCCGTTGATCCAATTCGCAAAGGCTGGCAGAGACTTACTAACTATAAACCCGACGATCTTGGCTCGAGGGCCACGCGATCTGTCGATTCCAGAATGGATACAATTGAAGAACGTATTGGGCAACCCGCGTCATAGTAACTGCATCGAGCGCAAGATCGATGCTCAAAGCTTTTTCTCTTCTCTCAACACCTCCTCCCACACTCCCGTTTTTTTTCTTCTAATTTGCTCGAACGCCACGCATCTCGAATTCACGTTTCTCTGACGACAATCGATATCAATAGTTTATTTTAATCTATTGTGAACGATTAAACGAATTATTTTCATCTGTTTAGCGAAGAATCGCGTCTGCGATCCTCTACAAATTTGATTCTTATTTCTGTACGAATGTTTTAATTTTGCTTCGTGTTTTTGTGTTAAATTTTTATGCAAGCTTTTCTTCTTTTTAAACAGTTTTGTACGATGAATGATATATACATTGAAAATTCATTTTTATTCAAACAAATATATGTATCCTATTTGTCTTATTAACATCACTCGAATCATGATGATTTACTAAAAATACACTCAACCACGTACACCTAATCTCCAATGCAAAACTCCAATGTTTAACGCACTGATCGTTTTTATCCTCTAATCATTCTCCTCTTTCACGATGTTTGTTCAATTATTTGGACAAAATTTACGTGAATCACTTCAATCAGTTAAAATATCATCTATCACCTTTGCATCGTTTATATATTTCTTCCGTTCGATTTTTTACGCTTTTCGTTGTCACTCTCTCGATACCTTCTAATCACAATCATAAATTTAATTTCTATTCTCCTCGGTGTTATCCCTCTTGGCTATTTACTCTTCATCGCAATATCCAACGCAGTATCCAACGACCTATTTACGCGAGCGTCTCCCGCTATCTGACTGATACTTCTCTGGAAGAGGCGCGCGTGCCGCAAGCGGGAACGATAGGCCGCGCACGGGAGACCCGTGTTCCTGCCTCGCGGTGCACTTGGATCGCACTGATTTTGCGAGCGGCAGCACCGTGCACGTCGACGAATTTACGTGTGCGTTTCGTCATCGACGAATCCGACAGAGCTGGAGGGAGAGAGAGAGAGAGGGAGGGGCTGGTCTAGCAAGAGGGTGGCTTTTTCCCCACCCCGGGTGAGCGAAGAGCGTTCGAGCCACGAGGTGAACGAAAAGAGTTCCGGCCTTCAATGTCTCCCCCGGTGTGCGCAAAATATCCCAAGAAACCCTTTTTCGCCCGCCTATCGATTTGCAAAAGCTTCCTCCTCGTTGATCCTCTGTCAAAGGATCCGTCTCACTTGAAATTGAACGTGTTTTTGTTCAAGAGAGAAGAGTTGATCGAGGTGTCGTGTTATTCTTGCTACCATCCCTCCACTCGGCAACTCTCATCGATTACCCCAGAGTTCGAACTCGCCTTTTAAATGGATCGTTTATTCCGGCTGCTGTGTATTGGTCCATATCGCGATTCTTCTTTTTCATTTAACTTCAATCGTGATTCTATATTATGCATTATCTCCTTATTCATCGTTTCGTTATTTTGTTACATATATTTAGAACATAAATTTTATTTATCCTTACTTTAGAGATTTATTCGTTTTTCTTCTGAAAATATTCTCTTTATTCTGAAAATATAATAAATTATTTATTATATTTTATTATTTTAGCTATGTATTAGTATTTATTTTAACTATGTAATCATGTTGATGTGAAAAATTCGAAAAATAGATATCTAAAATTCGAAAAATTATTATAAGTAAAAAAAAAACAAATATTTTGATGGAGTTCTGGATTATTTTTTATAGTAAAAAAGCATACTTAACTATTAAAAAGTTCGTGCACAAGTGGAAATCCCTCGTACTTTCTTGCTGTACTTTGAAATTTATCTACCACGTTACAAGGACTGCAGTAATTTTTTTCGCCTTGTTACAGGGGAATTGTAGTAATCTTTTTATCGTATTATATCAACACTTACTGCGTTTATTTTGAAAAAGTACCAAACAATTTTGCACCAATCAGAGATGTAAAAATCATTCTAAAAACATTAAACTCAAAAATCTCTTCTCCTCAAAATTTTAATTCATTATCTATTCGATTAATTTTATTCAGTTACTATTTTAAAGACAGTTCTATATAATAACGCATTTTTTATAAAAGTATATAAGGATAAAATTAACATAATTTCATCAGGTGTATATCTTTAGAATTAGAAAAACAGCGTATCATATTTTGATACGCTTTCACGTTAATCATGCGTAATTCTACATGTAGATCTTTGGATCATCGATTCTAAAATTCCAATTCCTAATCAAACATAAGATATGCGTTATCCTGAACGTACTTTTCAAGGAAAATCCGCGTGACGTTCGCAGCAACGGGAGGCTCTCGTTTTCTCGAGCAACCAAGCATCGCGTCGATGCGATAGCGGATCGATGACCGGCGATCGTTACACACAGCGAGAGGAGAGAGAAACAGAGGGAGAGCAAGTAGGAAAGAGAGAGTGAGGAATACTCCTCCCTCGCGTGTCTTTGGCTCGATATGCCTGCTGGATGCACGAGCCTCGACATTTTGACGGCTTCCCTTGGTGCGACCGTGCGTCACCCCTCTTTTTCCTCGTCACGCGTGCGATGCAGTCGCGCAGATGCACGCGAGTCCGCTCGCCCGCGTCCTCGGACGCTCGCGCAGAGCATATCGACACTTTCCGGTGATCTTAATTGACCACTCGGCTTGCTCGCTATGCGCTGGCCCATCGTTGATTGCACGACTACCGTTTAGCAGTGTATTTAGCCCGAATCTTTGCACCCTTTCAATCCGATACTGGTTATATGGTTGCTCCTTGTCCTTCATCTGGGAAAACCATTGATCTTTCTTTTCCTCTTCATTTTTTTCTTATGTAATAATTTATAATCAATGTACCGAATGTATCAAATTGAGATGTTGAATTAGAATTTCTGTAAAAAATAGAAATTTTTAAAGTTAATTTTTAAAGAAACTACTTTGAAAATATTTATTTGAAATATTATTGGAAAAAGATTTATGATACATGGTTTTTTAATAGAAGGTTGAAAACTTTCTTCAATGAAATATATTTTTCCTACCTTGTTATAAAATTAATAGACATTTGTCATTTTTCTTTGATTATTATCTTGATCTGTATGATTTTCATTTTTATAATATTCAATGAAATATACCATTCACAATGCTTGTTACTTGTTACACTTTTTTTTTTTTGTTTTATTTCATTTCTTTTCATATCACGAGTTTTAATTTTTAAATTTGAAACATTTTATGAAAGAATGTTAATATTACCTTTTTTTTTTTTTTCATTTATTTGTCACTATTTAGTTTTCGTTTATTCATGAGAAAAACTCTCGTTCAATTACTTATTAAACTGATGTTAATTTCACTGAAAATATGATAATAATAGAAAAGAGAATGTGATTACGTTAAGAGTGAAACAGATATTGGCTCAAACGATCGATCCGTCTAATATGCAATTACTATTTGCGTTCGATGTATCGGTTCATCTATGGCATTCATGGATTATTCGCTATTAATTAAAACAGTTACAATAGTTGAATATGCACACTCTCGTATCCCCTACGAAACCGTTCTAATGTCACTCAATTCGTGCAACTAAACTGATGCATCGAATCGCAGAAACGGCATAATCAATAGCCAATAACCAAAACGGCAATCAAAATAATTTAATCAAGTAATCGTGAAATAATCAAAATATCATATTATTATAATCATTAAAAAGCATAGAATTAAAATAATTGAGCATGAAAAAGAAATGAATTCCTTTTTTCTAAATAATACAAAAAATTATATCTCAAAAGTACAGAGAAAATAATACCTCCTAAAAATTAGAATTTTTTGCAATTTCAAAATATTTAATTATGAGTCAATATAATTATTGCATTACGATGCAACATTTTTTTTTTCCAATTCAATCAATTTACATTATTGAATTCTGTTTTTATAACATTGTAGTTATAAACAAAAATTCTAAATATTTTTTTCAATCACTATTTCTTCTTTGAGAAATTGAAGTAAGTATTCACAACTCTATAAAATTATTTTTATATGAAAATTATTGTTCAACTTTGATTTACATAATTTCTGTAAAATATCTATTTTATGTATTGTAAAAAAAATAACATTTACAATCATTATGTCTATGACTTATGCACGATGAATATACATATGTGCACTTTTTCGTCCTGAATTCCGTGATTAGCTAACAAAGGAGAAAGCGAACGATCGCGGAGGAGCTAAAATGCGATTATAGCTCGTCGATTTGTGGGTGGGATAGCAGAGCGATACGAGTTTTGCGGGTCGAGGTACAGGGCACAGGGTGGCAAGCGGAGAAATATTCTCGGGTGAGTGACGGGGAACGGGCAGGAGGGAACAGTAGAGACCGGAGGTATTGATTGCGACGCGACTCTAGGAACCTGCCCGATACACGACCGCGCTCTACCTACCTACCTACTACCTACACCCACCGACAAGCGCGATTATTCCTCACATATCCCGTGTTACTGAGCATTCACGCGACTAAATGTCCTCCTAGCTGTATGCAGATCCTCGCTGCAAAATCCGTGACAACTTCTTAAATGTTTAGTGTCGATCATTAACACATTTGTGACTGGTAATAATATTTTTTTCTCCCATTGATCAAACGCAATTTTTTTTTTCTTGCAAAATATTAAGAAAATCAAATGTAAATCATCAAAGTTAATTAATCGCTGAAAATAAAAATAAATTGAAAATGAAATTTTTAAAATAATTTTTTTTTAAATCAATACTGATTACCGCTTAAAATTCAATTTACAATTTCTCTTTGTAGAATTTGTATATAGATGATTGATAAATATATAAATTCATTCAAATTTGGTGATCTGTCATTTTTCACGATGTTTTATCCTTTTTTGTGTTTGTAAGGATACAAGAAACTATCGTGTACCTACCAAACGCGAGGCACGAACATTCAGTCGTATCGGTAAACTTCGACGAGCCGCTACAAACGCGAAAACGAGGTCATATTGGTTTGAAGAGAGACTATAGGCATAAAGCGTACCGGGATACTTCCTCTTATGCTCCGCGTCCACTTCCCGGGCCAGGGCAAAGTATTTTTCCTTTACGTCTTTTGCCATGTTCTTCCAAAGAATGCCTAATCTGTACAACATAAAAAAATATAATTTACAATATTCTATATATGCATATATACAATTATTTTTTAAATTATTGAAAGTATATAAAATTTGATTGCATCCAAAAAAAGATATTTAATACGAAGAACGAGTTTTCCGTAAAATAAAAATATAAAATACAAATATTTTACAACTATTTAATATTATGTATTATAAAGGAGAAAAACTAGCCTAACACTAATGTCCTTGTTAGACTCCCGAGGATTTTCCGCAGCGAGCTTTTTTCGCCATTCATTGGCAAATAACATGAAAGCGTTCGCTGGTCGTGGGATTTTTCGTTTAACTCCATTCGAATCGGCAATTCTCCCATCGATGCATAGAAATGCTGGGAATCCTTCTGGACGTATCTGCGATCGACCGAGTTGCTGCAGCACGAAGATTTTCTCTTCATCGCTTTTTTCACGATTACTACAAATCTGCCTCGCTTCCAACCGTATCTTCTTCTTTAATACATTCTCTTTATCGTTTTCCAAATCTTCGTCGTTCGTCGCCAAGGAAATCTTGAACATTTCTTCTTCGGATTTTTCCTTTTTACAATTTCCTCGCGATTTTTCAGGCGCGCTACAGGAGAACGAATTATTGTCGATTGCATGTTGACTAGGAGATGGACTGTCACAATTAGAAAATCCTTCGCAATCGCTTAAATTTTTTTCCTTAACTTCTGTTTTAACCGCGGCTGGAAATTATTTCATTTTATTTGTATTTCTTAGTAAAAAATATATTTTTATAGTCAAAGTTAATATTTTTTACAAAATATATATATATTTCTATGTTTAGATAATATTTGGACAATGAAACTGAATTAAATAAATTAAAAAAATAAAATTTCAGAGAATCTTAATAACGGTGTTTTGAAACAAAAAATCGTAATAAGAAATAAATTGTGTAAGTATTATCAATTACATTTTTATTACGTTGTTAATAATTCTGGCAACAATAATAAATAAAATTCACAAAGAAATTCTTATTTTGATTCTCACCTTTCTGCACGAGGTTCAAAATTAATTCAGAAGCATCCATGAGAATCTTTTCTTTAGATGGAATATCAATAAATAGCTATTTAATGATCGTTCTGTGTTCAACAATAAATGTCGGACATGAGACGTTTAATAATTACAAAAGCTAACACACGAGCGTAGATTGTATTTCGTTGTCGATAGGGGCGCGTTGGTTGTTGATAACACTTGAAAAATCGTTAAGAAACGATGCGATTTTCTTTCTTTTATTTTTTGATCGACATTCTTCCATGACATCAGCCGTGTATATGTAACAACAGAAGATAGTCGCTTGTGTAAGTGTTTCTTCCACCATCTTGTTCAAATTTTTTTTCTCTTTAAATAATACAATTTTTAAAAATTTAGCAAAAGAATAAAAATAGAATAATCATGTCATGCGATGAAACTTGTACATGTGATAAGCGCGGTATAGATTACTATGGTGTATTATCATTGACAAAAGATTGTGACGATTTGGAAATCAAAGCAGCGTAAGTAAGATAATATCAATTTATAATATCAATATTTTTTTCCTTTTTCTTCTTCGTCAATTAATCCGACAATAGTTCTATGTTGCGAAATATCATCAACACTAATAATGAATAATAATAATTAATTAATCATATTATATCGCAATTATTATTTTAATATAAGAATAAGCATATTTATTTTCAATATAATTTTTAATTTTTATTAAATAATTTATGTTATTATATTATAATTTTCAGATTTCGACGTTTAGCGATACGATACAATCCTAAAAGAGCAAAGGATGAAAGTTTAAGTACTATTTTTGCCTTGGTAACTGAAGCATACGATGTGCTTTCAGATCCTTTTAGAAGAACTGTATACGATCAATTCGGTGAGGAAGGTCTTAAAAATGGCATACCTGGAGCCGAAGAATTCATCTGTCCATATGTTTATCATGGAGAACCGATGAAAACTTATAGGTATTCGAATTGTATTATTATTACAGAATATTTCTTTTTAATTTTTACAATAAGAATATAAATAAAATATTCCGATAAATGTTAAAATACTAAAATAAGTGAAATTTCATAGAATATTATCTTTTTTTGTAATTTTACTTGTATTCTACCTTTTTCCCTCTAATTTCATACATTTCAATATTATTATATCAATTATATAATCCTTAACTTTATCTAAGCGTATGATTAACTTAACAATCACTTGGAAACTTTGAATATTTACGATCCGATCTATCTACACCTTTCTCATTAGAAGTATCTCTACAGGGAATTCTTCGGCACCGAAAGTCCTTATGCTGATCTAATCTACGCAGTAACGCAGTCTCCATCTCTGCTCGAATTTCCCGAGGGGCGGGGTATAAAACGTAAGAAGAGCCTCTGATAAAAACCTTGTATTTAACCCTTCTGGAGGTATCGCATCGATATTCTACTTATTTATAATTTTCTATTCCCAGTTTTAATCAGTAGATAACGTGTGACTCGTCATATCAAACTATATTTTTTTACTTATATATTTTCATAAATCATAAATTTTAAGATTTATGAATACAAATTTATTATTCATTACATTATGTTAATCCCATTATCATTATTTATACAATTGATCAAGTATATTTTAAATTTCAAATACTCTAATACAGAGTATTATTCATTATTTGTGTTGATAATCAATTCTAATATACTTATTTTATATGATATGAATAGGTTTTTCTTGGTGGAATTAAAAAAATGAAGATACAAAGATTGGTTTTGATAGGGGATGATAAATCTACGACAGTGGTAAAGGAAAAAATTTTAACAATACCTATTAAACCAGGCATACCGACAGGAACGAGGATAACATTTCCAGAGGAAGGTGATCAAGGACCCACGAAAATACCTGGTAAATTATTAATGATAATTAAAAAAAATATTTTTGTCTTTCTTTTTAATTAATATTTAATAGAATATGCTCAAATTTAAATCATTTCTGTCCGATAAAATAAAAAGTATTCTTAATACATACTTTTATAATACGTAAACAAAAGTAGAATCAAATTCATTTTTTTTCCTTCGCAAAAATTTATTACAGCATTTTTACTTATATTGGTTCGAATTTCATAAAGAATGCATTTAAAATGCATCATTTCATGACGGACAGAAATGGGTTAATCGTAGTGGTTCGCATAATATCTTTACTCAGTCCTAAGCACGTCAGCGTAGCGGATGTAATCTTCATCACGGAGGACCGGCCTCACGAGACCTTCCGAAGAGAGGGCTCTGACTTGCACATGACGGTCGATATCTTTCTGCGAGAGGCACTGACCGGAACAGTGGTCACCGTCGACACCCTCGACGACAGAACCCTTCGAATACCACTAACGTCTGTCATCACGTACGTGTCACCATCTCCATTTCACCAATCCATTTTATTTTCTTTTCTTGCTTGTTTATAATTATGAATAATTATCTTATGTTTAACATAACAAATTCTAAAGATAAATAATTGTTGACAGATTTTTGTTAAATAAATTGACAATATTTTATATTATTTTATATTGTTTTATATTAATTATCAATTATTATTTTATAATAATAATATAATATAAATATAATATAATAATGATATAATTTATAAAAAAAATATGTAACATTCTTTTTTTTATAAAATAGGCCAGATTATAAGAAACGCATACCTGGAGAAGGATTGCCATTACCGGAAAATCCAAAAGGGAAAGGAGATCTAATTATAACTTTTAACATTGAATATCCGGTATATATGCCAGTATCAAATAAAAATTATGTTAAACGAGCGTTTGATACATCAGAAGATATTAGGGATACAGAATATGTCCATCGTCTTATATTGGCTAATAAAATGCGTAGAAATATTGATTTTGATGTTCCTGTACGCCGAGATCCTAAAGATTATGAAGCAAAAGAATTAGACTTTATTTGTAACATTTAATTTTTCCATATTTTCAACTATTTTAATGCATCGATTTATTAACTCTTTAAATATTTAATTTTAGATGTATATACATTTAATTTTTTGCAAATAAAATCACTATATATTTTGATTCGTTAAATGATTTTACCAATTTGATAAATGTTATTTAATATATATGTATGCAATGAGTAAACAATATTTTTTGAAGTTCTTGATTCTCTTTTTAAAATAACATCTTTTTCTAGATACTTTACACTTCTTATGGTTTTATCGAGATTTTTTAATATAATTTTTTTTATGTAAAAAATAAAATAAATAAATAGGAAACTTACTAACCACTTACTAACTTGAAACTTTGTTAAAATATTTATAATCGTTTAATAATTTTTAAAGGAAAAAAAATTCAAATATGATTGCAACGAAATCGTTAATATTGACGAGTACTGCACTCTTGCGGTATACTCTACAACTTCTACCATAATCAAATTATCATGCGCAGTCAATAATCGGTTTCGATTGTACGAATTTGTTTTTTTTCCTATTCTTATCATGCTTTTGATATTTTTATCAACATTTCATTGAACCGGTTCCCTGGCCTGCGAGAAGTGAAATAAATAGTGACGGCAAAGAACGAAAAAAGCCAGAAAACATTCCATTCGATGTCGACTGAACGGGACATAGTAATCTCGGGCAATCATATGACTCCTCCGCACGTGACTTTATTTACAGTTGACTGATACTCGTGAACATGTATGGTGCAGTTCCTTGTGACATGATAGACCGAAAACGAAACAAAGTTAGCAAGCAATGCGGTAGCTATAAACGATCGTTCGTTTATGATGCCTTTGCTTGATAAGCTGTTCCTTTCGAGGAAGAGTTTCAAAAACAACGTTCAAACTATTGTAGCATCAAACGTTGGAACAGAAGAAGATGATAGGTGAGAGTAGTTGCCTTATTTTTTTTTTTTTTGAGTATACCTCGATATTTATTCCCATTCATTTTATTCGTACGTATCTCTTTATATCGTCATTGTTCTATATTTATCGATCTTATTCATGCTTTCGATATCTATTGCTGACATAGCGTATCGATCATCGAAGCCTTCCATATTATTTCAACAATTATTCTATATTTCTCCTATCAGAGAAGATTAATTTTTATTGAAAAAAGAGAAAAGAAATATATAACTTGTTATTTTTTTTGAAGTCCATATTTTCAATCTACCTTAACCTATTTTGTGTTACATTCGTTTCTATTTGTCCGTTGGCGGGAGACATAATCTCATCGTTACTAACATGCTCGTGACTTGGCTTATGTATCGATCTACAAAATTGACCTCTATATATTAATTCTTTACGAATATTTACGAATATTCTAAACATTTTTAATTTATTTATATTGCACATTTATTATTTATATATTTTTTTTATTATATTTTAACAAAAAAGTAATTATATCTTTATTGAGATCTTGATATATAATATAGATAAACACTGAATAAAAATATTTAATAAGAGATTTAAATTATTTATTATAAATTATATTGAATTTTGCATGATATTATTTTTAATAATCGTAAAATTGCTATACATTTAAAATTGATATTTGCTATACATAGATTATAAAGTTACATAAGGAAAACTAACTATATTATTTCAGTATAATATTAGAAGATTACAAATTAAGATTAAGATATTGTTTCATATAATTTCTCATATAATCTCATATGAAACAATTTCATTTTATTTATTTACATGATTTTTTTGGCATACCATGATTTATTAGCATGATAATATTTTTTGAAGATCAATTCAACAATTCAATTTAACAAATTCTTTATTTTTGATATTATTATCAGTTTGCATTGTATATGATTTTCAATATTTGTAGAATTTCAGCGTTATGTATTGGAACAAGTCGAGTTCGAATCTTATTGTTTCGAGAATGCGAATGGCGCGGAAGAAAACTTCTTTTCGATTCTCTTTCTTTGGAGAAAAAATGGTGTAAAAATAAAACAGCTATGTTTAAGCTTAAAAACAATATTGGCTCAAATGATGATTCAATTAATTTCGGAAATAATCGCATTTTTGAGGTAATGAAAAATTATTGAAAAAAACATAATTTTTAATTAATATTATATAAAAAATTGTAGAATTTAATTAATATATTTTTCAAGATATTATTTTATATGCATAATTATAAATTTTTAGCGAGAAAAGATAAGCGAAGATGATGTGAGTTTATTAAGCGAAATGGTGTTTGGTACCGTAGCGATGACATACAGAGGATCTTCATTTAAGGTAAAATATAAAAACAAAATTCTATTGAAAATAAATGATATCAATATTTTATAGAAACATAAAATAATCTTTTTTATGTTTATTTATCAAGATCCATTCAATGAATTCACCATCTTGCATCATGTGCACAAAAGTTTTTCCAATTACAGAACACAATATATGCAAACAAAGGTAAGCTTATTGGTTCTTAATAAGACAGTTATCGATTTCACATTACATTTGATATATGGATACAATATTTGATTTATTACTTAATCATGTTTCAGCGAGAAAGTTTCGGACGAAGGATTAGGCCGTTCCGTGAATTTTGATTCTAATTCCAGTATGCAAACTATGCGTATGTAGCACTTGCAAAATAATATTATGATATTATTAATTTAAATTAAATTAGATATCAATTGAAATTAGATATATAGATAAAAATTTAATTTTTCAGTATCTCGACCAAGTTCTGGAAATTTATCGGGATTGGAATTAAATGCTGATATCAGAAAAAATTCTACTTGTTCTAGTACTGGTAGTGGATGGAATATAGATATACCGCCACCATCAGGGAGTAAGTTAAATATATATTGATTCAAGTTGAACTATGTAAAAATTTATTGGCATTTATTTTTTGAGATGTAATATGATATTAATTCAGGTTCACAATCGTTGGAGAGTAATGGATCCTCTGGTATTGGTAGTCTTTCGAGTTTACGTCGAAGATGGTTACGATCAGCATCTACTTCTTTAACACGATCAGATTCCGATGATACTTTCGGAATCCAATATTGGACCGAGAATGGAAATGATAATAAAAATAGTCATGTTAAACGTCATAAAACGAGACTTGGATTAACGATGTTAGTGCAACTAGCTGAAGGTCATGAAAGGTTGAAATTTAATTTAAGATTATTAATGAATATTTTAATTATTAATTTAATTTATTTTAATTTTAACTTATCTCATTTTATATAAAAATTTATTACATCAAAGAATAATAATTTAAAAAAGTATGTTGTTTTACATTACAGAAAAATAGAAACTTGTTTATTAGAGCACATGGCTTTATTAGAAGGAATGCTGGATCGTTTACGATATTTCTCTATTGAATCAAGTAATATCAATGTTCAAAATAAGGGAATGCAGCTTCCTGAACGACTCTATAGATCTTCTTCACGAATCATTGTTTCGTTATTGCGTTTACTTACAAATATAAACGCAGATTTATATTCACGCACACCTTTATTGTGGCATGATGTATTACTTAATTCAGTGAAAATAGAACATAAAATGAGTATGTTGCATCATAGTTTGGAACAAATGTGTCAATTGCTAGATAATACTGATACAAAATCAACTAATTTGTAAGTATTATAAATGAAATATTATGCTTTTGAAGCAAAATTTTAACATTTATATATTTTAGTTTTTTAAGTACTGTTGTAACTGCTGTTTTAACATATCATCTTGGTTGGATATATACTACACTGCCAATTCATGATCGACAATTGGTAAATAATTCAGATTTTTTTTATAATTCCTTGATTTAATTCAATACGCTATATGTTATACTTAGGAACAAAATATATAAATTATATTTTTTTCAGATGGAGAAATTAGGTACCTGGTATCCTTGTAATCCATTATGGGCTCAGTTAGGTGACTTATATGGTGCATTAAGTAATCCTATCAAGATTGCACATACAGTTGTTGCGGGTGATCCTCAAAAAGTTAATTTGATTAATTCTGTTTTATTTTTTTTGTCATATTTCATTCGTAGTGGAGTAGTACAGAAACGACAAGAATATTGTTGCGTTACTGAACAAGATATTCAAGAAGCTGCAAATCTTCTAGAACAAGCGAAAATAAAACGACCGCATTTATTCACAACAAAAATAACGTGTAATGATCGAGAATCATTGACATCACAACGTGTATTACACACATCTATTAGAAAAAAAATTCCTGTACAAGAGGTTTCATATGATACAGAAAGTGATAATGCTAGTATACAAAACTCTTATCCTCAATACAACACCGAAAGATTAAGAGTAGAAGGATCTATTAGCTCTCTTAAACGTAGCATTACAATGGAATCAAATCTAGATTCGTTTGCGTTGAAACCATCAGAATCTGAAAGAAATACAAAATTTACTTTGAAAGAATTTCCTCCAGATAATGATAACAATGTAAAGAGTATTGTCGACAAAAAAACTTGTGCATCAAGCAAAGTTAAAATAATAGTTAACGAAATTGTATCACAAGATATAGACATGACAAAGACTGATATACAACACTATCCTGAAGTTTCTCTGCGAAATTTTGAAAAAAAAGTGGATAGTGATAATAGTGATAATTTAGAAGAAACATATATAAATTCTAAAATAGATACTTTTCAAGAATTTGATAATACGCGTACATTAAAATTATATTCCACTAGACCAGAATTTGAAACTGGCCAAAGTACAGTTAACGAGATGAAAGATTCCTATGTCTTTTTTACACTTGGCGATGAAGAAAAGTCTGTGAAAACATTGTCACGACCGCGACTTGGATATAATTGTCAATGTTCATATATGTTCACAAGGGTACCAAGTACATCTGCACAATTGCCGGAAGGTGTGTTGAGAAAAATTATTCAAAGAAACTTTCCTGAATCATCTAAAAGTATTCAGTCACCAGGAGTATCTCCAAGATCTTTAAGGTTTTGCCAAAGATGTAACGGGGAAGGTTATATACCATCACAGAATTATGATAGTTATAAACAAGTTCTTGAAACTCCTACAAATGCAACAGAAGTATTACGTACTTGCGGTAATACTGTAGGTGATGGAAATGTTGGATTATCTAGATCAAATAGTCTAGAAACTTTGATGGAAGCTAGCAGTGTCGTTGAATTACCTATGCCGCGGTTAGTGTCGCGGACTATAATAACTATTGACAACAGATAAGATTAATTGTAGATATAAAATTTCTAATTACAGAACAAAAAAAATAAAGAAGACTGATTTACCCCAGGATACTGGTTTTACAAGGACACTTCTACAAAATAGTATAAAATCTGAAGAATCACAGGGATTAAATAATTCTGAGTCATCCTATACATGGGGTTTAGTCTTACAAGGTTTATTAAAAAAGAAAAAAAGAAGAAAAAAGAAAGTTGTTCAACAAGAAGAAAATAAAAATGAATCTGAAATAAACAAAGAATGGTGGTACTGCATACGTGAAGAATGTCTTGCCAGTGTACGTTTTCCGATTATTGATCAATCAATTGCCGAATCACTTTGTATTTTAGCCGATTTAGATACTTGGCATGTTGGAATTATATCTAATAATATGCCCTTACATACTGCGCCATTACCGATTGGGATGTCAAGACTTGTAGCCAATATGTTGGAAAGCTTTGCTTATTTATGGCGAAAATATCACTCAGCTTCACAAGTAAGAAATCATATTATTATTAATTTCAAATGTTAGGTAGAAATATAAAAAGATGTTTTAAACATATTTTTAAACATTAAAAATATTTAAAATAATTATTTTATTTAAAACAAGATATTAATAATATATATTTATAATTTTTATTTCAATTATAGTGTATAGGTATATTGGAAGCAAAACTAAGAGAAATGTGGCTAAAAAGTGAAGCATTAGCAGAAATGTTATTGACAACAGAAATATGCAATGCTAGTATTGCAAATCTAACATATGCTCTCGATCTCGATGCAGCAGATGTACCACTTTTACTCGCAGTTGCAACTTCACACACACCAGAAATAGCCCAGAGATTTGGTCTCACACTTACTTGACTGTATTTCATTTTTATCATGATTTTTATTTTAGGACATGAAGTCCTTTATTGTCCAATATAGAGTAAGCTATAAGTTAACTATATATATTTTATTATTTGTTTATAAAATATAATTATAGATTATTTTATTGGGCGACCTATCCCAATAAATTTTAAAATTTTTTAAATGAAAAAAGTATACAAATGTTAAAAACATTTTTCTGATAAATTATATTAAGATTTAAACCAAATGTTTATTATATATGTGTTAAAATGTTTTAATTTATTATGCAATACGTAGGAACATCTAATTTTGCATTTAAATATTAAATTTT